TGGTATCTATCTTTGAAGTGTATCGAAAGCGGTATGGGTAACGTTCAAAGATTAAATTTTTTATTTTTTGTCAATTTATTTGAAGCGTAATTTCTCTATGTACAGACACTTAGTTTTTAAAAAAAATAATTATATAATAGCTCTGGTTTAGGGGAATCTAATAAAAAAAAGTTTGTGCAAATTAGATCATTCGTTGTGGTAGAATCAGCATTTTAGTTTTAGTAATTTTTTTAAAAATTTTCAACTGTCTGTGATTTTTGATCACCCACTGTACTTTTAAAGAATTACGTGAAGAGATACTTAAGTACAATTTTGATTATCAGGAAAAAAATTATGAAAATAATAACAAAATTACAATTCAAATCAAAAAAGCCGAAGAATTTTCTACAATAGCCAATGCAGCATCAACTGATACAATAATTACAACTCCACGCAATTATCAAATACATCCACAAGCATTTTATACCAGTCGACTTCTTAATTTTTCAAGTCTTCCAAAACCTAAGAATGAAGAAAATTTTGAAAAGGAACTTGAAGAATTAACTAATGATTTAAACACTAGTAAGAATTAATTATATTTTTATTAATTTTTATATTACATTTCTTTTATATTTAATTATATTATATTAATTTATTTTTTTTATCTTATTAAGCTGATTCTGGAATGATGGATTTAAATGTCTAATTTTTAAATTCGATATTTTTATTTTTTATTATTTTTTAAAAAAATTATCTTGATACTAATTAACTCTAATAAAAAAAAGTTTGTACAATTTAGATCACTCATTGTGCCACAATTAGCATTTTAATTTTAGCAATTATTTTCGGACGAATTAGTATTTATTTTTAACAAAATATTGACACAAGGTATAGAGTATGAGTTCTTCATTACATTTGTATGAATTCAATTAGCTTAGTTTTTAATTAAGATTTTATTTAAATACATAAACATTAATAAAGGGAAATCGCATTTACAATAATCATTATCAAAAATCATCATTTCGCGCGAATTCAATTTTATTGACTTTTATTTCGTAAACATACAATTTTTTAAAATTACAAAAAAAAAAAAGAACTAATAATAACAATACAACAATAGTATTAGAAAATTAATATCACCGTCTATTATCATTACTACTATTATTATGATAATTTTGAATATCATCGGTTCTTGATTTTTTGGAGTTTGTGATGATGAACTATCATTATTATTATTGTCTCTACTGGTGATCTCCATTTCCTATTATTATGATGATGATAATGATTTATTGCAGCTGTTAATATAGTTGCTGTTGTTATCATGACTTCTAATGCTGATCATTCTTTGGCTTCGTCGGGTATATTCGTGACTGGTTTCGTATTCTGGAAGAATAAATTACAAAAAAAATGATTTTTAAAAAGCGGTTTAATTAATTTTTATGTTTAGATTATTATTTTTTTTATCAAAAAAAAATTATCCCTTTGGATCAGCCGGTAAAGTTTCGGTAAAGAAATAATTATGGTTCAAGGCTGAAAAAGCAGTTGCTCGATTTTGTGGATTACAAAATAATAATTTGTCTAGTAGATCTAGTGTTTGTTCATTGCGCCTATTTTATTTATAATAAATTATTTAAATTAAATTTTTAAAAATTATAAATATTTACTTTAATAATAGTAAATCAATTATACCCAATCAAAGAAAATTTCTCTTTTACTTTTCTTTTATAATTATTCGGTACAATTTTGAACATCATTAGTAATAGATGTCCAACCTGGTCAATCTTTTTTGGTGGGAGTTCCACATAATTTAAATATGAGATCCAATTGATCTTGATCAGATCTTCCTAATACACATCCAATTGTCCACATATCAATAGCTGTATCATATCTCCTTTCTTTTAATAATAATTCGGGTGCTCGATTCCCCTGGGTTATCACACACCCGGTAAGTGATTTATCTTGTAATGGATAAAAATTCACAATATTAAGAATTCCTTTATTATCTATTAATAAATATCCTTTGCAGTTTTAGAAAAAAACTTTAATATAAAGAATGAAATCAGGTTTTAACAAATTCTTATGCTGCATGAGGTTTAATAATTAATCGATCAATTATATAAAATCTAAATCATTAGTGGAAAATTTTTAGAGTGTTGTTGTGACATTTTTGTTTATTTTTATTAAAAATAAGCATTGAATTACATATAATTTAGTTAATCGAATCTGGTGTAAAGTTACTATACCTATACTTGGGAATTACTTTTGGACCAAGAGTATTATTGGTTAGATAATAATAGGTTGAAGAAGAATGTGTTTGGATAGAACTTTGCTTATTCAAACGGATTTGATTTATCATCATCACCAACTCAAGCTACTTTTGATTATTTTATCATTCGCTCATAAAATTTTTACTGATAATTTATTTAGTTTTATTTTCATATATTCACAACAAATTATTGGGTTCACATCAAGATGATAATAATATTGACGAATCGAGAATATTATTACTTCGTAAATATTTAAATTAACAATTATCGTTGTTCATTTCTGGATTATTTTAAATCTGGTGGAAATTCCCGGAAATTAGGCTGAGAATTTTTTCATGAATAGTGAATAATTTGTTCAATTCTCAAGTTACCCGATGTCTCGAAAGTATTTAACAAATTAGAAACGTTTGTTTCGGAGGATATAATGAGACCATTATATAAATCATTAGCACTAATTTGTAATAATATTTTAAATATGGATTTGAATTTTAATTTGAATTCATATTCTCAAGTACAATTTTTAGAAAGATTTGTTGATGTTGAAAAACGATTAGAAAAATCTTCAATTGTTTTAAATTATCATCTAGACTATAATTCATTATTATGGGTTATCATTAGTCAAAAGGAAGCATTAAAGAGTCTTCGCTTAAATCAGTAAATTTTTATCATTTCGAGGGGAAATCATCATCAACTGAACAATTTATTTCACATCAAGAACTTTACTGAAAATTGCTATGGATTGCATAGCATAAATCGGACATATTTTTTATATAATTAAAGTTCTTCAATAATTTTTTACGTAATTTTATATTTAAAATTAATTCAAAAAATAAATGGTTTATACCTCAAAATTTTCATAAAAAAATTATATATTTTCTGAATAAAAATTAAAAAAGTTTTATATGAAAGCACTCAGAAAAATTAAAAATTTCTATAGTTGGCCGGCGGATTATCAATAAATTATTATCAATTAATTTTACGCATTGGAAATTATTTAAAAATATATATTAAACATATTCAACAAAAAAGAATTATCAATATATAAATCAAAAATTCATTGATGTGCTTCACCAATGAAGAATTGGCGTAGTTAGATACATGCGTGAAAAATTAATCTATACCCGAAATCCGAGGAAACTGCCATTTA